ATGTATTCCCCATATCAGATACAGAAAGAGTGGCCTCAAAATAGAAAAAGTACTGATACAGACACAAAGCTACACCTCAAGTTCATTGCTCCTAAGAACAGTGGATACATGCAGCAGAGGAATTACAGAAGTGTGTGCTGCTTACATACCACCCCGTAGCACTTAAAGCACTCCCTGGGCAATTTACAGTTTAATTATGCAGGATACACATTGCTCTTTCCCTCCAGCTTCTGAAGGATGGAAGGCTGAGTCAACCTCAAGTCAGCTACCTGAGACCACTGGGATCAAACTCAGGTCATGAACAGAGTTTTCAACTGCAGTATAGCAGTTTAACCACTATGCCATGAGAAGGGAGTACTGTACCACAAGTTTTACACCTTAAAATTTACAATAGGGCTCTTCCTACTGAACAAAGGATAGAAGTCTTGCTATTGGGAGCTGCTTGATTTTTTCAGGTTACACATCAGCTACCAGCAACTGCTTTTCAGGTCATACAAATGCCCCCCCATATTTCAATATACTGGGATTATGTTCAGCCTTTTGACTGAAGTATAGTTTTTCAGAGTTCACAAGGATTCATGTAGGCACAGAAAAGTTCTGGTCACCATGGTGACTGGTAACAGCAACCCAGCCAGTATCCATCATATTCACATAATAAAATTACTCTGAATACTGTTTTTATTTTTTGGAAGAAATACCCCTGCAACAAAACTAGTATCCAAGGAAAGTCATCGGGATCTCTCACAAATTTGATAAATGTACTGTTTTTCTGTAACAAATGCAAAGATTCTAAACTGTTTCCCCATTTATTTAGGTCACTCCCCCTGCTGTGAGGATGATGCCAATAACATGCTTTATTAGATAATGTACCTTAAAGAAATTGACTATGAAAATCAAATTAGAATATTAACCTCCAATATAAACCCAAAAGATATTGAGTAGCAATACCTTAACCAATTCTACTGAATGCCTATCAATACAAACAATTCAAAAGAGTAAAAGTTGCTACTTAAATTACTGTATATAGAAAATAGCACAGTTTGTACTTAAGTGCCTGAATTACTCACAGAATTCTTGCTTTTGGTTTTCAAATTCAAAGCAAAGCAAAGCATGCTGCTTACATACTGTCCCAATATGCTTAAAGCACCTTCTGGGCAGTTTACAATTTAATTACGCAAGCTACACAAGCTGGGTACTCAGTTTAACGACTTTGAAAGGATGGAAGACTGAGTGAACCTCAAGGCAGCTACCTGGTATTGAATCCAGGCTGTGAGTAGAGTTCTGGCTGCAGTACTGCAGTTTATCAATTGTGCCACGAGACTGCTAAACTCAGCACTCAATTTCTGGCAAACAAGCTATGAGCACCATATTTCTTCCAACTCATCTTGCTATCAAATTCCTACCTCCCTAACAATCCAGGAGAGTGAATCAATCTTTTTGAAAAAATGTACCCCTTCGTAGCAAGAAGCATGAAAAGCATTGTTCATACACAGAGAAGAAAAAAGCCTTGTGGCCTTTATACACAACCCAAAGCTCAAGAGGCGGGGTGATATGTTTATTAAATCACTAAAATCTCACAAACAGGCACTAGCTTTCAAGTTCTACAGGACTTATCATCAGGTTGGGTGTTACAGAAGGAAAACAAATCCTTAAAATCATGGCCAGTTGGCACCCATTTTCTTTTTTTAAAAGCCATTTCCAAAACACAATCTCCAACCCTGCAATCAGACTAGGGCAATAGGTTTCAGGTTTCCAGGCAATGTAAATTTAATTGTTCTTCCCATTCTTGGTGAGCAAAGAGCAGCCAATCCTTCAACATCCCCCACAACCTAATACAGAACACCTCAATGGAATGAAACCAGACAGAAATATGCCAAATACCTTATTAGACAAGTTGGGATAAAATTATGTTTATATACAGTACTAAGTAGCGCAATCACTTGCAGCCAAATTTGAAATATTACCCAGTCACTGGAACAAGATTTCCTCAGTTTGGCACAGTCCTTAAGAAATGGTAAATGTCCTTGTTTGTTCATTCATGAGACATCTTCATTCACGAGATTTCTCATGAATGAAGATGTGACCAACCGGCTTGCCTTCAACACCTAAGTTACAGTATAGAGCCATATCCTCCCCCTTACTTGTATGAAGAATCCAGGAGAACACATTCTATAGGCTTATTTAGATCAAATAACTTGCTTTTAGCTAACTCCTTTCCATTACTTACAGCACTTCACATCGTAATTCCTTCCCCTCACTTCTTAATGAGTATGGGGACAAAGCTGTTTTCTACTGCATGCAGAAAAAGAACTGTGGAGTTGAGTAAGTTGTGCCCAACCAGCCTCAGACTAAACCATGGCTCTCAGATCTCCAGACCCCAAGAACTTTACTGAACATGTAAAGTACTGCTGGTTGGGCTCTTTGTCTATCTGCTTTCTTGCTGGTGCCTGGCAGAGATTTTTAAAGGGTTACCCTTTCAGAAAGGAAAAAAGGGGCAGTGGAAATTATGGAAACCCAACTCTTTTCAGTCCTATCTAAAATACTTTTGACAATCAGATGTCAAAAAGACATTCTCAGATGCACATGTTGGCAGTTAGGACAACTTGAAGTTAAGAGGATATTTCCCCTCAGCCAATAATCCTTCCAAAAGGGGACAACAGGCTTTGCCCATCTCCCCACACCTAATGGAGGCTCAAAACAACAGAATGTAGCATGACTTTTAAAAATATATATATATACAAATGTATTCCCATTGTTAAATGACATTCTTTGTAGGGTTGTATGAATAGTAACCAGAACTTTAAAATATTATTTACTTACACATTTTCTACCTCACCTTGTTTCTTTAAAAGGATCCAAAGCTACTTTTTGGACTATAACTGCTGCAAACCACTCTAATATGCTGCTTAAGATAACATGGGAGGTGTAGACCCCCCCCAAAAGTTTTACAAGCCCTTGGTGTAATTTAATTTTTTACCTCCTAAAAGGCAGCTTTGCTGTCTGTTCCCATCCCTAGGCTAAACCCTGGTATCAATTAAAGCAGGGGCGAGGCACTCTGGGCCCTCAAGCTATCTGGAACTGGCACTTTCCCCTCATCTCACTGGTCATGTAGGGTGGAGCTGAGAGAGATGACAGGCTAAAACATGAGGAGAAACCCCAAAACAAACAAACAACAAAAAAGCCCTCCACCTTCCTCAACTGAAAGGTGGGCACAGGTGTCCCCATTACATAGGAACACTCTGAGGTAAAAGTAAAGCCTTTTTTATGGGGGGGGGGAAATGCTATCCTACTGAAAACCAATCTTAAAAACCCAATGGAAATAAATGGTATCCTCAGTCCTTCCCCTCAGAAGGCGGCAGCCCCATTCAAAGGAGGCACTAGTATTTTGACCCTAAGGCTCTAATGGGAATGAGAGGAAAGAGCGAACGCGCTCCCTTCTCCTCCTCCTCCTCCCTCGCACGCTCCCTCTTCCAACGGTCGCTGCCCAGGCGCGCGAGCCGTTCCCGCCACGCCTCCTCCCGCCCCGCCAGGTTTCATCCCCAGGAGCCAAGCCGCTCGCGCCCTTCGCGAGCAGCAGCACGCGCCCGGCACTTCCCTCGCGCCCCGGGGCGAAGAGCAGCTGCCGGCTTGCAATTGCACCAGCCAAGCGAGGGCGGTCGGGCCCCGACCGACGCCTCTTTCCACGCCCCGCTGGCCTCGTTCTCCTTGCTCCGTGCTTTTTTAAATTATTATTATTTTTAAACACGCCCTGCTATATACATTTCACGTTTGTTTGCTTGCCTATTTTTTTTCCTTCTTTATTTTTTTTTAAAGGAGAAATAGTTGTGTGTTTGTTTGTTTTTTCTTTAAGGGAGTACACAAGCGCTAAGCTGGCCGCACGCGCCCCCTGCTGGAAAAAGACTACTTGCAAATGCAATAAATAACCCATTTATGGAGGAAAGGGTAGCCGTGTGGTCCAAACGAAATAAAATCCAAATGCAAAAAAAAAAAAAAAAAAAAAAAAAGCGATAGGGTCTATAAAGACATCGTCCATTTTTTCCATTTACTGTATGGAGAGAGCGAGATGAATTAATGCGCTTTATTGCTCTTCTGTTTTTTTTAAAGGAGTTTGGAGCAGTACCTTACCACACACGCACACACCCCAGAAGGGTAGATTCAAGAGCTTGTAAGCCGCAATGATTTTTATCTATACTCCACATACACGCACACAAGCTCCGTGCAAAACCAAACAGGCTTCGCACAGACTTGGCCGCTCACACCTGGCTCTTGCAAAGAAAAGCAGGCCTTCAAGCAACAGATTTCCTCTTCTCCGCAGCTGCTCCTACGAGGATCAGACACACCCCTATGAGGAGATGCCTCCGGGTGTTGTTGTTTTCCCCCTTAAAGGTAAAATGACACCCCGATCCACCCTCATGATTAAACGCTCTCAGGAGTTGGGCGTTTTCCCCCTTAAAGGTAAAATGACACCCGGATCCACCCTCATGATTAAACCAGGAGCTGGGCTCCAGCCACTGGATCTGACCAAAAAAAGTCTTTATTAAGCTTAAACTCCCCCCTCCCATGGACAAAAAAAATATATTATACACAACACCCATACTCAAACCGATCTGCACCCCACCGATCTCGCCCTACAAAACGGCGCTCGGGGGATTTCGCTGCTACTACAAAGCCGCCTGCAAATCCAGAGTGAAACCTGAGCGAGGTCGCCTCCGCCTCCCCTCCCTCCTTCCGCGGGGTGGGAGGGACGGCAAAGCCAAGAGCCGCACACGAGACACCATATCCTACTATAAAACCACAAAGCGCGGAAGAAAAAGCTACCTCGAGTTACAGATCTTAAGTTACTCACAAAGCGGGAGATGAAAAGGACCATTAAAATCAATCTCTCTCCTTCCCTGCAGTACCAGGGCGCATTGACGCACCCTTGATCAAGGAGGGACTTATAAGGAAGGCGGCTCAATAATCATGGCTTAGGGTCAAGGAAATTAAAATTGGGACCTTACCGGCCATGCAAACTGGAAAGGTATCACAATCCGGCCCATGTCTTGACTTTTTCCCGGATGAAAATGTCGGTTGTTGAGATAAAAAGTATTTCCACCAAGAACGGGAGTAGATCCGGAGCCAAAACTGCAGGCTCCCGTGGGCGTGATTTTGGCCTGATATTCCTTCAAACAGACTTTCACGTAAGTATCGCACTCGTCCCGGGCACAGTCCAGATTCGGGCCTCTTTTCATGCCATCATCGCAACATTCCCCATTGAACAATTCGCCGTTTACATTCTTCACCGAGTTAATCTGCAGCTCGAAATAGCCCGTGGACTGGGAGACCTAAAAATAAAAAAGCAAAAATAAAAAAAGGGGGTAGCGAGAGAAAGAGGGAATCGAACCTCATTAAACGGCACAGGGTCTTGGGAAGAAAGTGCACGCGAGATCGGTAAGCCGCCGCCACTCTTAAGGAGTTCCCTACGGCAAAGCAGCCTTCCGGTAAAACTATTAAAACTATACGTACTATTAAAAGATGGTCGGGACGTACGGGGGGGGCGGTGTACAAAGAGGAGGAGGGCAAAGAAAACCTTCGCTGTGTCTCCATCAAGAAACTTGCAGGACATTTGCAACTGAAAGCAGCCCTTGGGGGGGAAAAAGGTTCCCTAAGGAGAAATAAACACAACCTCCTTAGAGCGCTCGGCCAGCAGCCAGGGAAAAACTTGCTTTCGAAACAGGCCAGGGTCCGGGGGAATCGACTAAATAAATTAATCCCTAATATCACCGTGGGTCCCCCGGCGCAAGTTTGCTATTGCGTTCGCCGTCCAAAAGCAAACGCAGCGCCGGGAAATGGTGAAGGGTAAGGCTAGGAGGAGACATCATCGAGACCCTTAGAAGAATCCCCCCCCGCTCTGTCCACCGAGGGAGATCGACCCCCCCAAAGCAGCCCTGGGGTCTATTAA